ACAGACCAAGACAGACAGACCAGACCAGACCACAGACCAGACCATTCACAGTTCAAGCGATCCTTTTTTTTAAAAATTAATAAATATACTGCCCCTCAGATAAATTTTCAAAGTGACTTCGTTCTCCGAAACAAAAAAATTTTACCTATAGCTATGGAACTATCACGTCGGCAGCGCGTGACCCGATGATTTCTTTGTGTAAAATACGTCAATTGGCTATTTGCCAGCGTAATCCTCGATCCCTCATGCTGCGGTGTCAGTTAGGCCTCAAGCGGTCACCTAGCTTTTGCCAAAAAGATCAAAAATTATGAAATACTGCTACGAAGTACTTGACTTAAGAAACGCAGCACAAATTTTTTGTTCTCTTGAAAATTTTTGTTCTCCTGGCTGGATCGAAAGCAGTAGCGAGGATGGTTTCGATGTTTAGTACAATGAACTTTTGAGTACGTCGGTACTCGTATAACTTGCTGCTTGCTTTTTACTTTTATTTGTCTTGGACGATAAGAACTGTAAGAATAGCACTAAGCTGTTGACCTTCTCTTTCTACTAAGAATGTTCCGGCTTTTTTACTTCGCGTTCGGTAATTTTTCTGGTTCCTGATTGAGCTCTAGATGACTGATAATGCAGGGTGACACGCAAGCCGTGCAATTAGAAAATCGATCGTGATACACGGTCGATTTACAAATAGATTTACTAGTTTCAAGACCGATTTCAGAAGGTATCGGTATTCGAAAAGTGTAAAGCACAGTAAAATAAATTGTCAAGGTTCACAGTCATCGAATGCGGAATGAGAAGTGGGCGTTTTTCGCATCAATTGTGTAAAAATTACCGTACCGTTACCGTGCATGTGTTGAAGACTTGAATATATAATGGATGCCCTAAATCGGGCCCTAAAGACGGATGACGGGGTACTGATCTCGCCAAAACCTTCGCGGACTTTCATGACATCGAATTGTGGTTTTTGAAATGCCAGTGGTACACGGATTTCAAGAACCACTGTATTTTTTGAAATCACTTCTTTTGAAAGGATTTTAAATCGCTGTGACAAAATCGCAACGAAGCCGTTGCATGCTCGAAGTTTCAAAAATTGAATTTTCTACATTCGTTCACATTTTTTAAGGCGACAATGACAGGACTGATGAGACATCGATCAAAAATGAGAAAATTTATGCAAGCAGAATTAAAGGGGTGCAACGGTTTCATCGCCATTTTTCGTCGTCGCGATTCAATGAAAACCCTTCCAATGAAAGTAATCTTCGAATTAGTGGTTTGCGTTGTAAGGATGTAGAGTTCAATCATGAAAAGGCATAAGTTTTTGTCTGCTTCAAAATTGTCTGAGTTAGAGAACATGACACCGTCAACGACTTTCAGACGCTTAGCCAATTGGAACACACTTTAATTGTAAATTTACAATATTTGGGTGAGATGTCGGAGCAGATGGAGTTTTTGGAGCGGTATGAAGTCCTCTAACTTCTCTTTTACTTTTGGGATTGATGAAGTGGAACTTAGCAGTAACATTTAGCGAAACTCCGAGATAGTGTTACGCCTGACGGTCGCCTTCCAACAAAGACTTTTTTACTATAATTGGTGATAAACAACGACTCTATATGAACATAGTCTGGTCAAGTCGCTTCTTTTTCCAACTTAAGGAAACTCAACAAAGCCAAACATCCTCAAACAATGCTTTTACCATTTTTCTATGTCCGCATATCACTCACAGTAACACGATCATTATTTATCAGATGTAACTTGCTTTGTGTGTGCAACTATCCTTCACTGCCACCTCGACAAAGGTATCCAAAGAGGCTATCAATTTTTCTGCTAAAAAGTGAGAAAAAATACTTTACAGTTGTTACTTATCAATCATTCTGCAATAGCAATTTTTGCATCTTTTTTCACAATATAAAAAATTGCGGAAAAGAAATCAGCAACTGTTTTCGGGCGCCTATTTTAAGAACTTCTTAGAAAAATTTTTAAAAAAGCTTCATTTGGAAAGCAAAAATAGTTTAAGCGAACTTGGGAATTGAAATCTAACTTTTTTCTTACTTACTGCAATTTTTTGCAAAAGCATACGTTCAAGATTGCCTATCGTGCAGTAATATATTTTCTGATGCACAAAGGAATCTGGCAAGCAGAAAAACATTCATAGAAAGTTTGGATCCTAATTTTCGTCGTTGCATAGTATAGCCATTTCATGATCTGAAATGTGCAGTTGCACACACTGCAAGCACTATGCGTCTCGTACTAGGCCATAAAAAGAAAAAACGGGGTAAAAACTTATTAGATTTTCGAGAAGTAAGAAAATCCCGGTTTCAGTACGTCTAGAATGAGCCGTGCTTTGTGTGCAGTGTGTGCAATCGCACATGTGAGTAGATGAGATATCTAGGATCATACTTTCTTAGTCCCGTCCGGAAGGGGGGGGGGGGAAGAATTTTTTTCAAACAAAGTTTTTACGGGTTCATCACTCCTAAAACCTAAAGAAAGGGGAGGATGGGCAGCCGAGTCTTTTTGCAGGGCTAATTCGAAGTTTTAAAATTTTTTACAATCTATCTTTATTATTCACAAGAATGAACAAGTCACTTGCACATTTTTATAACCCATTTAAGTATAATTCAAAAAAAGTCTTTGCTCGTCAAACGCTTTCTTATACATCCAGCATACACTGTTAAGGGCGAGGGCTCCCCACCCCCAACCCCCCGCCCCTCGGTCCGCCACTGTTCCTTACAAGGGAGGTCGAATCAGTCGAAGTGGCCTTTTCAAATGGGTCATATACTATTTTGAAGAGCGTTAAACGCTGATTCCGAATCTTTCTTCGTTATCTGCCGAGCGCCTCTGGACGCCGAGTTATAAATGTTTTTTGGAGCGAAAAATGAACGCAGAATTCAAGTAAAATTGACTATTACGGACTTTTCAGCGCCTAAACAGAGCAACATGTAGTATGAGTGTTTTGGGCAGAAGGTATCCTTTGAAATGGAGTGCTCTGATAACCAACATCGGAGCATTTGAGCAATTCTGACGAATTTTGCTCTGATTACGCATTCAATTTTTCAACCCAAAGAACGCTCATAACTCGGCGTCCAGAGGCGCTCGGCAGATAACGAAGACAGATTCGGAATCAGCATCCTAAGCTCTATAAGACAGTGTACATTTCAAGATGAAATGCCACTTCGACCATGTATCCTTCCCTTGTTAGTTATTTTTCGTCATGAACATTAGTAGTATATGCTGGATGCACAACAGGGGGTTTGACGAACAAAGATACATTGCGGGATATAAAGTTTTTAGGAGGGTTCTGTCATTTTGACCGCTACCGCGGACTACTCATCCTCAAATTACGCATAACCAGTATTTCCGAATGGAAATTTATGTATTTCAAAACCTATCCGGACCAAACTTAACACACCTACACTTCGGGGAGGGCGCATGTCGCAGACTACTTTTCGCTATCGATCGATATCTTATTGATATTTTGCAAAGTCTGAGCTACGGGGCTAGAAATTGGCACAGGGGGTAAGTGAAGATGCTGTACGGCCAGCTTAGTAGTTACTAAGCTAGAGTGCTTTGCCTGGTATTCCTGGAAGACTCGTACAGCTCTAAATTGGGCTGTTAAGTTGATGACCCTTGGAGAAATCGCGCCTCTTGACGTCTTCCACGAAACGTTAGAATGTTGGGAGTACAACCAGTGCATGGAAAGAATGCCAAAAATTTTCTTTTGTTTGCTTCTCAATTACATCAGCTGTTGAGGACAGAAATTCAAACCGAATCGAACAGAAGCGTTCCATCACGTTTGGGCCCCTTGCCCTTGATTTTTAATGCACTAAATAATATTTGATTTCGCTACACATGCTGTAAAGTCTGCATATTCTGAGCTAACAAATGACACATTAGATGCTTGACAGAAAGTAATAAGTACAAGACATGCTTGAAACTTCTCGTGCGTTCATTGCTCAGCACAAACTCTTTGGTCGGGAGAATCGGCACGTTCGAACAGTTGGTAAATATTACTTGGGTGGCGGCGAGAGTGGTGGAAACGGACCACGTGCCTAGTGTCTACGGCCAAAACACAACTTTTTAACCCATGAGCTTGAAAAACATCGAGATTGACTGTACGGATGGAGTTATTTGAGGCTTCCGAAGAAAAAGCTCATCTTGAGCACGACGGGGAGAAATTTTTGAGAAGTCGAGCAGGATATCATCAAGCTGGGAATTGTCTCAAAATGGTTTTTATGCGGATAGATAATTGTGTATGATATTATCAGACATCCCTATGTAAACGCAGTAAAACCTTATCCACCACCTACAGCTGTATTATATGAACTAGGTACTTTCAATAGATCATAACATCGAAAGTGCGTTAATTCTGTAAAAGTCCCATTTGACAAAGCAAAACTTCGCCACGTCTCCTTTGAGAGCCAAACAATGCTTAGGAAAGCAAAAGGTCCCAAATCAAGAAGATGGTCCGAAGTAATCGTAAATCAGCAATTTTTGAAATTTCTGTTGTGTTTTGCTTGATTGACAGCTTTCTCTTACTGATATAACAAACTTGCTTTGGTCCCGGTAATTCCTTTTCGTTCCATTTTTGTAATTATATTACGGCAACCTGGTCAAACGTCTTCGTCTCCCTCCCCCCTTCTCTTCATCTTCACCATGTGAATCCATAGGAGCAACCATTTTCTTTTTTTCAATAGCGTGAAAATTTTTAGTATTTCCCGGCGAGGGTGAGCAAACCAGTAAATAAGAACGAACTTTTGTACATTTTGCCGTTATGAGCAGGAATAAAATTTTCCTTACGTTATATGGGGTGAAAAAAATATGAAGATAGAGGGAAACTGTGGCTGGAAAAACCCGCTAGTACGTGAAGCTAAGCCAGAGAATCAAGGTTCTTTTCACGTAGAAATCTTCCCAAAATATGAATGTTGATGTTACTGGGAACCATCTACACTACTTGGAATTCATCCAATCGTCTCGATATTTTTCAACAATCATTTCAGTATCTCTAAAATAATAAACTTTATTTCTTGGAAAAATAGCGAATTATTTACACAATGTTGTATGCCCGAAAAAACTTAAATATTAAGCGATACTGCACTCATCGATCAATATTCAATCAATACCATCCCCATGTCTTCATGTCGGCATAGGCCTTGGCAAGTAGTTCTTCCCATTCTTTCTTCTGTTCAGGTGTTACCCCACCGGCATTCTTTTCCATAGCAGCAAGGAAGGCATCGGTGACTTTCTAGAAAGTAAGTTTTCAATCAATAATTGATTTTTTGATTAGAGAGCAATTTTGAAGTCACAAAAAAGGTACAGTTTTTTTGGAAAAGGGTGGATCGGAGACGAAATGACCAAAGAGGACTTGACAAACAGTGAACCCGTTCTCAGTGTCGTAAAATTCATTACTTATTAATTTGGAATTTCACGATGATCCCCAATAATTTTGGACTCGTGAAACTTACGTTGAACTCATTCAATGGCACGTTATTATCGGAAAATGTTTCCTTGAAACTGCTTAGAGCGCTACGCCACTGTCTGTCCTGGTCAACAACATCGGGTAATCTGGAAGTGACACTTTTTTGATAATTAAAGACCCCTCATAAACCCCGGAGGCACTGAACAGGCGCTTACCTGAAGAAAAATTGCAGTTCTTGCTGCCCAAGCATCACGAACTTCATGGCCTGAAAATGGTCTTTTGAGACCAAAATTTGCCTTAAAAAATTATGGTTGTCAATTGAGAAGACCATGAAATGTGAATTTACTAGAAATGAGTTTAAAAATTTTATGGAATCAGTCTCCATCAGAAGTCTCACTTTTTTGGAACCTGAAGGTCTTGTAAATGGGTTTGGGGATGTCCAGACGAATTTGGATACCAAATATTACCCATTGGGTATTTGGATACCCAGTTCTGTTAATGGCAAGTGATATGAAGAATCTAGCTGAACCGCTGCCCTAATGAGCCCATCTCATCCATTGCGGTCAGAACATCTACTCGCCCAGACCGTACTCTTCTCAATGGGCCAGTCCGAGTACGGTACTGGGCGAGAGTTTAAAGTCAACCGCTGTTTCTTCTACCACGAATGGAGATTTTATGGAATTCTGTTTGAACAATGGCTTAGCCAAGATCCCCACTCCATATGCAAATTTCATCCCAGATTTGCTAAACTCTTCTTTTGCAAAATCGATATATTGATTACCTTTGGAATGCTATCTGGGTCAATGTCCTCGGCATCATAGTATTTTGCCATTTCAGGATGGAGTTTGAACAACCTGCAATTGTTTTTCTACATTCTTGCTATCATCCCTCCCTCATCCTCTTCTTTTTTCTATCTTCTGAATTTTTTCTCTCTTCTACGTCACAGCTGATGACGAAGTGTGGCAAGAATTATTCCTCCTTCCTCCCTTTCCTTGAATTTTTTTCTTCTTTTACGTCTTACCTGATGAGCGTGATGAAAAAAAGCTATAAAAGAGCTTTGACGTTTACCTTGCACTTATCCCTCATATGCAGGTAAACTTAACTGCGCCTTTTCAATCCCATTGCGTTGATGAGAGTAAATTAAATAGTTTGCAGATGACTTACTGCTTGTGGTATTCGCCAGCGGTGTCTTTTGTCAGCTTATACTGACTGGCATGCTTCTTCAGTAAATCCTTGTTAACCATGGGGAAAGGCCTGAAAAAATGATATCAAATCGTTTGATTGGAGTCCAAGCGTTTGGTTTCTCGCAAAATTGTAGAAAGGAACGAAACAATTATAGGGCAAAACTATGTTCCACGATTAGTGTCACTTTCTAATGTATTAATGAAATGTTTAGGAGATGCAGCATAGGCTTTTTCTATAAATGTTGGGATGGTTTTTCAAAACTTCTGCAACCCAAGGGGAGTGTTAGAACTCAAACTGCTAGGCCGAATTTGAAACACGTTGCTTTGATGCCAAATCTCTTAGTAATTACTATTTACATAGCCTATTTTACACAGGCTAATGGAAAAGGCATAGACTGAGTCAGTCTTCAATGTTGTTTTACATTCAGCTTAAGCCACTAAGATCTCGATGACCAACTTGGACCAGTATAGACGTACATAACATTGTGATCAAATCGACGTCAACTATCTGGTTTAAAAAACTGAGACTCGAGACTGCTTCAAGAAATTTTCATTTCTTATTAGACTCAATAATACTCTTTGTTATTTCTGTGACCAGAACCCTTCCAAAGTTCTAGGCACCTAGTTTCTCCTACGCCGGCGCAGACACTTGTCAAAGCAGATGAAACACTTTGTTATATATTATTAACAAAGTATCTCGGAGAAGGCCATAGATTTTACAACTCCCACAAACTTTTCTGTTGAGGAGGCCTTTAGAATGAGTCCTATATCACTTTGAAATGCATTGAACGCTGATTTCAAATCCGCTTTATTTTTCTGCGGACCAACTACCTGAAAAAGTTATGAGCGCTTAAATGCCCAAATTTGCTGAGCTTCAAGTAGCTTGAAACTAGCGGCTGTAAAACAACACCTGAAAATGGTCCATTTTATTTTGTATTATATCACCTCTGCTGGAAAGAAATAGAGCCAGAGGAAATTTGCATATATGCTTTCCACAGTTTTCACTATTTTATGCCAATTAGAGAACGAATTTAGAATTTCGAACTAACTTCCTTCAGGAGTTGCTCTTCAAGAAAAGAGAGCAGATTTGAAATCATTGTTCGATGCTCGTCAAAGTGATACTGGACTCATTTGGAAAGGCCACTTCGCTTGAAAAGGTTTGCTTTTTGAGTAATGATCGAGATACCTTTAAGTGATATTTCATTACGATTTAATTTTGAATATGATGCAACTGAACCTACATCGAGGATAGGCGCAAAAAAAATTTTCGATTCCAAGCCGACTCATATTTCTTACTTTGGTGCTTAAAATCTAAGCAAATTCGATTCTGTCAATACTGCCCTTAGGCAATACATGATTAACCACAATAACTCAAGGATTAAGATTTACGTATAACGATAGTGTAAAGTGCAAAACATCGAGAATTCTAGAAGCTGCATGAAGCCATAAACCTAGGGCAGTTCTTGAAAGATAAATGAGATTGTTCAGCTAGAGCCAGCTAGTGTAACAGCAGGTGAGGCGATAGCTTGGGTAGAAGCAACAATCGAAGGACAACGGTTTTCCTATAATTTCTGGCCTCAAAGGGCTAGTTATTGCGAGTTTAAGTAAAATGAGAGCTACAAGGATTACATGTGGCCATTTAGCTAGGACTATGGGAAAAAGGCCAGCAACGGAACGGCCAGAGCTTCTGCTGGTGTCGGGGTGCGAAATGCACACACACAATCGCACACACACATGCACAATTGTCGGCTGTGGTGGATCTGAACTCGCTCCGCCTCTAATCCCCTGAGAGACAAAAGGTGTTCAGCAGCTGTGAAAAAAAAATGTCGTCATTCAAGAAGAACTTGCTTTCCAGTGCCTGTCACGTCACGTGTGTCACAATCAAATTTCAAGCATTTTTTCGAAGTCACCTATGTCAAGGAAGAGCATATGCTCGCGGCAGGAATATGCGCAATTGACACGAGAAAGGTCTGAAGATTGTCAGAAAATCAGAAAAATTGATCTGTCTTGCAAATTCTGGCACTCCATGGCAGTCTTAAATACCGGCCTCTTGAAAATTCCTTCTCCAATTAGATTTTCTTGAAACTCGTGACTAAGCGATGTCGAAAGCGATTTTTCTAGTGATTACCCAATCTTCAAAACTGCTCAGCAGCTCTTCAGATCAAGAGGCTATCGCATCCTCACATGCGAACTATTTCAACAGCACATAAATTACATGAGTTAATCAAAATCACTTCCTGCTCTGCATTAAAAGTTTTTATTGCTGAGGCAATGCACACACACCTACACATATACGTAGGCTTTACGATCCTTGAGGGGCGGAGTCGTGGCAGCTCAAAGTGTGGCGGTTTTCGAAAGCGAGAGAGTACGAAAATCACTGTTGTACGTGGATGTTCAAAAAGTTTATCCTATAATCGCAAGGGAAGTCGCAACCTGCCTCTGCATGAATCTTGGAGCCGATCATATATGCACACAAGACAGCGATGGTTTTTTGCAAATATGTGCAACTGCATAGATTCGCATGGACTGCGTCTTCTAAGCAAGATGTGCAGACTAATCAACCACACTTTTACGAATACAAGTGAGCTCAAACAGCGAAGGAAAACAGGAGAAGCAGGTTAACACATTTGGGCCAGTAGTAATCCTCCTTGGAGGTGACGTACGAGGTCGCAACCTAGGCTCGAGCACTGTTTTATTCCACAGATCGTTGATTGATTTGCCTTATATTATCTTTTAATTGTCTGCGTAGTGGGGATAGACACGAAACAGTGCGAGATTGGAGCTTGACCACTTCCTCGGGTCCTGGGCCAGTAGTAAACCCCCCTCGAGTCGTGACGACTCGCTCGGAGCGCGGCAAATGCCCGGCAAATGCCTTTTTGCTGTCTCCCCATGATAAGGGATAGGCGACGTGAGAGGCGTATGCCCGGCGTAACGCCGCGGCAACGCCGCGGGCACGACAAGGCAGCACCAGCACGCCCGTCGGGCAGACAGTCAAGAAATAGTGGGTCTTCATTGGAGACGCAGAGAGATGGTGGTCCCGACAAATGACCAGCGGTCGAGTACGTCCGGGGTGGTCACTGCGGTCATTGCAAGTTCGGGGATGGGTGATCGCGGTGTTTTTTTGCGGCGAACGGCCAGCGTCCGTCTTGTCCGACTTGTGACACTTTTTGGGCGGTCATGACCGCGTCTTAAGTTGTGATGACTTTGGGGGATTACTACTGGCCCTGATGAGAATGTTAGAGACCAGCTCAGATCATCAGGACTAGTAATAACGGACTATGGGTGTTTTTGTAAGTGTCTGTTCTTTGGAAGGAAATCCATAGAACGAGTTGCAGACAAGGTTTCAAGCCTCAACTTTTGTACAATACACGCTGCCAACATCTGGATCCACCGCAAAAGCACAAGCAGATCCGATAAGCGTCCTTCAAAAATTGCCCACGAAGCGGAGCAACTAGATCATCAATTTTTCTAGCGTCAACTCAATAAAATAAAGAGATGTTTGCTCAGAAATGTAGCGCACAAAAGTCATTGTCTTCTTGACATATCGAGTTATTAGGATTAACTAACCAATCTAAGGTATTTATTATCCATTTGCAATGCCTTCCTCAAAAATCACCGATTTATTAAGGTAGAGCAAATAGAATGAGTAATTTCTTGCAATTTCTCGCGATGTTGGGCACGGCTTGGTAAGTTTCATTTCTTATTTGAGCGTAGCAGGAAAGTAGGTACCTAATGCAAGGAACTCAAGCCTTAAAACCCTCCTGCAGCGAAAGGGCGGACCACCTTTGAGAGGGACGCAACTGTGTTCACTGGCACGCCATCTCAGAAGAGTCGATTCGCTTGGCCCAGAAACTTTTATGCATAGCTGTAGCCAGGGGTACGGTCTTAGAACCGCATGCATTAACATCCCCGACAGGGAGGGGGTCGCAGCTTTAGAGGAAAGCCTAATGTCCTGAAGCTTCAGATGTCTGGATTTCAGGTTGTCTATCTAGCCGTAAGTACTCCCACTAATCTTCTTTATGAACGTATTGAACGAGAGTAAAAAGCTGTACAAGCTGCATTTTTCAGCATTTGTATAATCCCTGATGATCCTCGGCGATTTTCTTCATCATTTTTCTCTCTTTAAAATTAACAAACCCTTAAGTTGTATAGATTATCTAACTGAACAGTGCTACGCGTTTTGCTAAAAAAAACAAATGAGCTTTTGGAATATCGATTTCTCCGATGAACCCCAACTTTCGACTTGTGGTTCATGGCAAATTTCATGACTTCGAAACATTCTTGTTCTTACCAGAAACATGATTAGCACTGTTGGATTAGATAAACAGCACACCTTTTGAATGTTTTTGTTGACTTCGAAAAAAGAAAAATAACTTTGAAGAAAAGACTTTCGGCAGCAGGGCACGGCAAAGATGGTATGGGATCAAACTAGACTGGGCGGAGCGCCGAAAAAAAAACGACAAACATGACAGGTTTTAAGAGCCGAACGTGTTCTTTCGCAAGCGCGCGAATTTCAAACACAAGACTCAAAAAACAAGTTTCTTGCTCACAGCGCTTAAAATGCCACCAGAATTGGGCTATATGCATACAATATTACTCCAAACTACATCATGTAAAAAGCTCTAAAAACTTATGTGTCTTAATACCCGTTCCTGAACTTGTTGGTTTCAAGAACAACACCAAACCAACTGGGTTGGTTCGAAGCATAAATATCGGAGAGTTCACATAAGTTTTGGAAATTTTTGTGGACGATTAGAACATTCAAAAATCTATCATCTAGCAAAGAGAATGAATCAAACAATTGCCTTCCTTTTTTTTGAGAACAAATAGCGTATATCTATGCACTGATAGACAGCGCGCTCCAATCACATGCGGTGTCCTTCGAACAATGTAGCGAAAAATGCGTCGCCCCATCGTTAGGGCCACAAATGTGGTTAGCCTAAGAGATTTTCATCATTCTGAGCATTAAAATAGTACCATACTTAAGAACGAAGCCTTTAATCACTCAGAATGTTTCTTTTTGCTTTGTTATCTTAGATACTCGAAATAAGCTTAACTCGCTTTTGTTATGTTGATTGAATAAGGGTTTCTCTTCTGACTTTTACGTCAAAAGGAACTTCGTAAATTTTCGCGAAGTCATGGGGGACTTCGTTTAATGCTCCAAACCAAGGCGTGCCGGGCCGTGGTCGGCAGCCAGGGATCATCAGGGGATCAAACAAACAGGTGGAAAATTAAGCTTGTAAGTTCCTTGTTCCCGTTCAAGATGTTCATAGCGAAGGATGGTAGGAGTACTTACAGATAGGGTAGACAACATAAGATCCAGATATCTGGAGCTTTGGGATATGAAGCTTTTTGCTGAAGCTGCGATCCCCTCCCCGGCGGGTATATTAATCCATGCGGCCCTTAGTCGCGGTAAGTACCGGGAACACAACAACTTTACTCCTCCTATCCTGGAAATCGTTTAAAGCCTCGGGCATACCTAACGCGATTTCAGTCGCGACGCGACTTGGCAATACTCCATTTGCTTATAACTTGTCGTAAATTCAATTTGAGCACCTGGACAATAGCACATTTTATCGACTCACAGAAGTTGAATGCACCAAGCAGCCAAGCATTCATGGTTTGCAAGTGTCGGGTTTGAGATATCTGGAAAATGGCCGATGCGTGGCGACTGAAATCACATGAGCTATGCTCAGGGCCTTGATCAACACAGCAAAACTGCGACACACATTTGTGTGCACTTTTGCTGTGTTAATCAAGGCTTTCGTCGCTGAAAGTACGAGCTTTTACAGAACACCAAGTGATCAAGTAATTACCATTTGGTTCGACTGACTTGGCTTCGCTAAGAC